AGCACTCGGGAGGCAGAGCCAGGCGGATCTCTGTGAGTTCGAGGCCAGCCTGGACTACCAAGTGAGTTCCAGGAAAGGCGCAAAGCTACACAGAGAAACCCTGTCTCGAAAAACCAAAAAAAAAAAAAAAAAAAAAAAAAAAAAATTAATCCATTTCCATAAATCTATACCTTGCCACGTGGCTCATGGCTTACCGGCATCTTCACATGCTGTTTGTCCTGGTGGCGACTGGCAGTGACTCTCTGACTCAGCCTTCCACTTCCCAGCTTTATTCTCCTTGTCCCGCCTATACTTCCTGCCTGGCCACTGGCCAATCAGTGATTTATTTATTGACCAAACAGCAACACACTTGACATACAGACCATCCCACAGCATATAACAATTTGTTAGACTATTAGAAAAGATTATTTTATTGGGCCTGTTTGGAACTTTGAGTAACTGGGTGCCAGAATCTAGTTTTTCTTGGCAATTTGGGATTGAGAGCCAGTTAAGTAAAGTACATAGATTAGCTGCCTGTGTTGTCTGCAGGTTCTTTGAAAGATTACAGATTTGTTAGTTTATGTTAACGTTACAACTCAAACACACTGACATATGCTGGAAAGTTTAACAAACACGAGAAGAAAGTGTAAAGTTTAACCCAGGTATACACCAGTAGTCCCAGCTCTCAGTAGGTAGAGAGCCAAGAGCTATATATCATCTTCATCTTCTCATTCTCTTTCTCCTTGTCCTAGGGACTGAATCAGGGTCTTGTGCTTGCCAGATAAGTGCTCTGTTCTCCAGTTAAATCACTAACCCTGCTTTGTAACACTTTTTTTTTTTTTTTTTTTTTTTTGGTTTTTTCGAGACAGGGTTTCTCTGTGCAGCTTTGCGCCTTTCCTGGGACTCACTTGGTAGCCCAGGCTGGCCTCGAACTCACAGAGATCCGCCTGGCTCTGCCTCCCGAGTGCTGGGATTAAAGGCGTGCGCCACCACCGCCCGGCGCTTTGTAACACTTTTAACAGCTTTTCGTTGTTGGCACCTTGATCAGTTCTCCCTGGGTGTACCCTTTCTTAACTTTGGGACATTTGGAAATGTTTTGAGACACTTTTGACCTTAATCTTCTTAACTAGGGGATTGAGTTTACTGTTACCTATTGAGTAGAGTTAAGACTGCCACTAAGCGCCGGGCGGTGGTGGCGCACGCCTTTAATCCCAGCACTCGGGAGGCAGAGCCAGGTGGATCTCTGTGAGTTCGAGGCCAGCCTGGGCTACCAAGCGAGTCCCAGGAAAGGCGCAAAGCTACACAGAGAAACCCTGTCTCGAAAAACGGAAAAAAAAAAAAAAAAAGACTGCCACTAAGCATCCTGAAGTGCAATGAATACAGGATAACAAGAATATCTGCCTGGGAGGCTGAGTCAAGAAGATTGCCAGTTTAAGCCAGCCTGGGCAACCTAGAGTTCCTGTCTAAAAATAAAGTAAAATAAGGGTTCAGAATTCAGTAATAATTTAATTACAAATGTTTTATTTTTCATGCACACATGCATGCGTAGGTCATAGGACAACTTATAGGAGTTTGTTCTTTCCACCATGTGGGTTCTGAGGACTGAACTTGCTTGGATCATCAGGCCTGACACCAAGTGTCTTTACATTTACCTAATGAGCCATCTTGCCAGCCCAATAACCTGATTTTTAAAAATGGTTGAAGAGCTAGGTGTAGTGGTGTGGGCCTGTAATCTTAGCTCTAAGAAGACAGAGGCAGGAATTAATCATCCTTGGCCAAAGTTTAAAGCTATCTTGGGTAGAATGAGACTTTGTCTTTAAGCAGGGGAGGACAAGTATTTGTGAACATCTCACCAAAGAATATAGATTGCAAATATGCACATATAAAAAAAAAAAACCAGAACTGTGAGTTGTTAGGGAAAAAAATAAAACCAAGATATCATTTAAATACCTAGCATAATAGGTAAACTAAAATAATGACCATGCTAAGTATCATCAGAGAGAAAAAGGAACTTGGGAGAATTGTACTTTTCTTGGTAAAATGGTACTACCATTTTTGCAAACATTGACAGGTTCTTTTTTTTTTGAGGCAGGTTCTCATGTAGATCAAGCTGGCCTCAACTCACAGAGATCACATGCCCCTGCCTCCTTCCTTCTGGGATTAAAAATATGTGCAACCAGGCCTAGCTTACTTATTTTCAGAGCAGATACTTTTAATTTTGAAGACAGTTTTGTCAGTTTTGCTTTTTCAGGTTGAAATCCATTGTGAGTTAATTTACAGAGATAGTTTATAGATGAAACTTTTACATGATGCTTGTAAACTAAATTTGCTTTTTGTTTTGAGGCATGGTCTCTCTGTGTAGCTCTGGCTGCCCTTGAACTCACTCCATTGACCAGGTTAGTCTCTAACTCAGAGACTCACCTGATTCTGCTGGGATTAAAGATATGTGTCACTACAACCCGACTGAATTTTAAGTTTTTTGAATGCTGTTTGTATTTTCCATAAAAAGTCAACAGAGGTTATGCAGTTGATACAGATAAAATTTAAGATTCTTTTTGCTGTAGGTACTTTATCAGTCTCATTTTCAATATCTTCCAGATTTGGAGTATTTATGATAAAGATGCCTACAAAGGGCCAGCAAGATGACTCAGACACAGTGGTTAAAGGTGCAGGACAAACATGGTGAAGTAGAAAACCAACTCCTAGTAGTTGTCTCCTGACCATCACATGCTTTCCATGCAGCATGTACACTCAAACATACACACAAAAAATTAAAACAAAGCCGAGTGGTGGTGGCTCACACCTTTAATTCCAGCACTCGGGAGGCAGAGACAGGTGGATTTCTGTGAGTTTGAGGCTAGCCTGGTCTACAAAGCGCGTTCCAGGATAGGTTCCAAAGCTACACAGAGAAACCCTGTCTTGTGGGGGGAAAAATTAAAACAAAACAAAAATCCTGTTTATAACTCAGCACTTAGGAGGCAGAGTTCAAGTCCACCCTGGTGTACATAGTTCCTAGCCACACAAGGCTACATAGTGAGACCTTGTCTCAAAAAAACAAAAGTCTTTCTGTGAATACTTTTGTATTATCTGCTTAAGCAGGACGTGGTTTCTGTATTAAATGTTATGGATCTGGAGAGATGACTCATGGTTAAGAGGACCTGAATTTAATTCCCAGCATCCACTTGGCAACTCACACTGTCAGTAATTCCAGTTCCAGGGGATTTGACACCTTCTCTTGACCTCCTTGGACACCAGTCAAGCACATGGTACAAATATACATGCAGGCAAAACATTCAATATACATGGAAGAAAATACTTTGAAAAAGACAGCTATTGAGGGTTGGGGATTTAGCTCAGTGGTAGAGTGCTTGCCTAGCAAGCGCAAGGCCCTGGGTTCGATCCTCAGCTCCAAAAAAAAAGGGGGTGGGCAGCTATTACTATAAGGATTTGGGAAGGAAATCATCATTAGTCTTATGGCATATGAGAAAAATAGCATTGAATATGTTAAGATGAACTTTATGGTATACTACCTGTTATATAATCTGCATTTGAGTATGAGTAAGATCTCTTTGAGGAGTTTTTTTCTGAATATATGTTCAGAAAGGCCAATATTTTGAAAAGCTGAAAACAAGAGGTAGTTCAAACCCCATTTGCTTATGAGGAAATTAGTGAGAGATTGGCCAGAACAGTATTTGTGTGCAGTGGTGCTGTGCCTACCCTTTGAGTAGTAAAACTCAGTGAGCTGCTTCTCAGTGGTGAGTCATGTGCTATGATTAACCTCAAACCAAACACCCAGCTGCTGTGGTTGTAATTTACTTTTAGCTGTAGGTGGATCAGGAGAATATGGGCTAGATACTTTACTGCCTGTGTGCTCTACTTATTATGTAGTTTATAATTAACAGGTGAGCTGAGCAGTCTGAAAACAGACTGAAAGTATTACTGTGTTACTGATTTTTTTTTTTTTTTAATTAAATGATTTTTTGAGACAGGGTTTCTCTTTGTAGCCGTTGACCTTAGACTGGCTCTGCCTCCTGGGTGCTGGGATTAAAGGTGTGTGCCACCACCTCCCAGTGCTGACTGATGTTTTTTAATGTAAACCTTTAAATATTTGGGATTTTGGAGGCAGAGGCACGCGGACCTTTGTGAGTGTGAGGCCAGCCTGGTCTACAGAGTGAGATCCAGGAAAGGCGCAAAGCTACACAGAGAAACCCTGTCTTGAAAAACAAAAACAAACAAACAAAAAAAACCAAAACAAAACAAAAAAAAAACAAAAAATTGGGATTTAAAAGAAAGTTATATTTAAGTACATTTCTATCCATAGATCCTCTGGTGAACGGTGACAAGTGGATTGATGTATAATTTAAGAACTTTTGTTTTTGCCAAGAAACATTTAGAGATGTGTTGGCAGATAGTATTGTGTTTGGGAAACTTAGGTGATGGATTCCCTCCCCCATTCCTCACCCCCATGCCTGGGAAGTTGACCTCACTCCCTCCTTCTGTGTTACGCAGCATAAATAACCATACTTAAGCCTAGGATAGCACATTTCTCTTGAGCATGGGTTCTTGATAGGTAGGTGTGTTTGTTCTCATTCAAGTGAGGCTTACTCTGCCTCCTTTTTCTAGGTGTTGGGATTATAGGCATGTGCACTATTCCCAGTGTGTGTGTGTGTGGGGGGGGGCTAGGTTATAAGAAATGCATAATTGCAAATATCTGCTGTGAAGACCTTCATTTGGAATGTTCCAAATCAAAACCAGCACTGTCCTCATGTCATATATAACTGTGTGGGATTATAAACCTGGTACCACAGATACCACTAACATAGAAACTTTTTCTCTTGAATTCAGTGAAGGAGAACGACCTACTCAGAATGAGAAGAGGAAGGAGAAAAACATAAAAAGAGGAGGCAATCGCTTTGAGCCATATACCAATCCAACTAAAAGATACAGAGCCTTCATTACCAACATACCTTTTGATGTGAAATGGCAGTCACTTAAAGACCTGGTTAAAGAAAAAGGTAATGGTACTGGTGGTGGAGTAGGGTAAGAAGGTTGGTGTGTCTTCTCTGTGGCTAATCTGGATTTTTGTCAGTGGAAGCTGCTCTAGGAAGAGCGTGTGTTCTGTTCAGGTTTAGAGCTACCCCTAGATCCCTCTACCCTTTTTTTGCGTTCACGCCCACATGTTAAATAGGGTGATTTATATGGTCCCTTGACCTACAAATAATTTTACTGGCTTAATAGTTATTGGGGGCTTCGGTTAGGTTTGAGGGGAGTGTTTTTATGTTAAGGAAATTTATCAAAATTTTCACAGAGAGAGAGAGAGAGAGAGAGAGTGTGTGTGTGTGTGTGTGTGTGTGTGTGTGTGTGTGTGTTTGTGTTTTAATTTACTTCTGTCTTTAAGTTTTTTTTTTAAGTGGCTAAGAGATAGTTTTAATTTTTGTGGGTACCTGGAATGTCTGTTGCTCAGATTCTAAACTCTGTAACGGGATCTGCTGTTTTAACTGAGCTCTCCTCTGAAGTAAAGAGATGGGCAGTGGGAGAGCTTAAATCATCTGTGCATGTGGTGCTGTGAGGGTGTATGGTGTCCGGGCCCAGGCATCCAAATCCTGGCCTAAGACAGGTCAAGCGACCAAGGGCCTCTGCTACCTGGAGGTCTGAGAGAATCACCTTGCCTCTGCACACTGGTGCGTCGCCCTCTCCTGCACTCTGTTTGCTCTTGTCCTCCTTTCCTTCCTGATTCTTAACCCTGATGGTGGCTCTCAGGACTGAAGAGATTGCTGGGTCCTGGTTTAGATAGGGTAGATAAGAAGCTCCTCTTCTCCCCCAAGGGAACCTAGGATCAAATTACCCTTAATGGAGTCTCTGAAGGACTGAAAGGTATTGGTTTTCTGGAGCATTCATAATGAAGAGAGATTTGAGCTTGATTTGTTGAATGATTAATTCTAGTGACAAAGATGCCACTTGGATGGCCCTTTGGTGTGTGTGCTGGTGCCCCAGCATTGAGTTTTGAAACTGAATAATGGCCACTGCCATCATTATCCCATTACTTACTTGACCATGACATGCAAGAAGCACTAGGCACCGTGAACCTTCACAGTCACATGTGCTGCTCCCATGTGGTATTTCTCAGATAAACAGATGAAAAACTGTTTTGGTGTGAGATTTGTTTTCCTGCCTTGATCAGCCAAATCATTCCTGCCAATCCTCCTAGAGCAAGAGTGAAGTTTCTTTTGTCTGAAGGGAGTGTCATGTGGCATCCCAGATACAGTGTTCTTGGTTCCTTGGGACTGCTGCTTTAATATAAGCTTAGAATTTCTGTACAGTACAGTTGGATCTCATTCGAATTAGTTTTCGGAATAACCCCCAAATTTGTGTTCTTGTGATTTGGTTGAACCACTGACTTGCTATCCCCATTGATAATAAGGTGTAGTAGTTCCAAGAACCAGGAATGTGGCTTTGAAAATGTAATTGTTAGAGTTTTGTAAGAGATTGTAGGCCAAACTACTTTTTCATTTTTAGGAGTGTGTGAACCAGTTTTGGGACATGATGGATAAAGTAGGTGATATTTTTACTGCTTTACCATTCAGTAATTCAGTTTTGGAAGCCATGAAGCTGGTAGCAGCAGCAGGCATGACGTTTCTGGATGTAGAAGCAGTTCACCTCAATTTACTATTTTGTCCTGTATTAAGTGTGGAGCCAGCCTGGTGGTTTACTTGGAGCCTTCCAAACTGGTTCTCATATTCCCCTGGCCTACTGCCATGGATGTGGGTGCTCCTCCTTCTCAGTGTACTTTTGTTGGTGTAACTCAGAATTACAGGTGTGCAGTAAATCTTTTTATTGAATGTTAAAATGTTCTTGCTTAGTGCTCCCAGGTACAGGTTAAACTAATTACTCTGCTGTCTAAATAATTAGCAGTATTGGATTGGGAGTAAAGTGATTCATAGGAGAAAGGTTAGTTTTTCTGTAGTAATGTTTAGATTCAGTGTGTGAAGTTTAAAGACATTAACTATATTTACATATGTATGGCTTCTTAAACATTCTTGTTTTTATTATGAGATTGAAAATTTTTATTTTTGTTTGATCTTAAAAAATGTTACTAGTTCATATCTATCTCTTCATCTTTTTTTTTTTTCTTTCGAGACAGGGTTTCTCTGTGTAGTTTTTGTGCCTTTCCTGGAACTCACTTGGTAGCCCAGGCTGGCCTCGAACTCACAGAGATCCACCTGGCTCTGCCTCCCGAGTGCTGGGATTTAAGGCGTGCGCCACCTCCGCCCGGCTCTCTATCTCTTCTTGAGATGGTCTCATCTCGATCTCTTTCTGAGATGGTCTCACATGTAATAGTGTCCTAGAACTCATTGTGTATACCAGAGTAGCCTCTGGAGATCATAAAATAGCCAAATGCCTCTGTCTCCAGGGTGCTGGGATTAAAGGCATTAATTTAATGTGTTGTCAGAAAGTCCTCTAAGATTTTGGAAAGTTTAAGTGGCAGATAGAGGTACTTAAACCCTAAAAGGATTGGTTTCATGGTAACCATAGTTGAATAGATCACAGAGATTGGGCTGGCGTAATCAAAGCAGTTTTTCCAATCTGCAGTCTTCTCTGAGAAAACTCTGTCTTCCTGGAATAAGAGGAATAATTATTTGTCTTTACTTCCAGTCTCTGCCATTCCAAGTGTCTTTAGTTGCAGCCTGTCAGAACAAGACAGGAACCTAAAAAGGCAGCACTGGTAATAGCATCTCATGTACCATTTCCTGACTCCTGATCTTCCTCTTCTCCTTCTTTGATACCAAGCATGTATTTTGTGTTTAATTTTACCTGTTTAGCAGCATTTTAGGATATTCTGTTAATGATCTTGTAAAAACCTGGTCACTTGCACTTTCCCCTTGGAAAATGACACAGAGCTTGTTTGGTGGTGATATAGTGAAATCAGTATTGCCCATTTTTAAGACAAGATCCATGGAAAGTGGTTTTTTTTCTCCTCTGAGCTGTGCTGCTGTTTTGCTCAACTCCTATCAGTGAAGGTCCTTCGTTAAGATACTGTTTTTGAACCTTGCTCTTTGCTTGACTACCTGCTCCCTGCTCCAAGGTGTCCCAGAGGAACAAAGTGAAGATTTATTTTATTTGACTTTTTTTTTTCCATGTTTACTTAATGTGTGGGTATTTTGCATGGTGATATTTAATCAAGACATTAACATGAGTAGAAGGTTGTTGATTTAAGACAAGTTTGAGATCTACTAAAATCAGTTGTTGTACATACGTCTGTCCTTCCGGTGGCTGTGGAAGCTTCATATTTTCTTTGGACATCGTTAGACGTCTTAGCTCTTGGAGTACAACTTTAATGCTATAGGAATTTTGCCATTTTGCTAAAACTGGTATGCTTCGTGCATCCACCATTCCACTAGAATTATTGATTCCATTCATATTCATTTTTGTTACAAATCTAACTGATGGAGGAACTTCTGGGTATTTAGATCCACATTCTACTTTCAGGCTATATATTCTGTTTTCATAGTTTGTCCTTGGTGGCCCAATAATCATGCCTGTCCACCTTGTAAGTGCCATGTCTTCATCATCTTCAAGGCCCCAGCTAACCGTACCATCACCTACTCCTTTCTGTCCTTCTTCAAGTTCTTCCAACAAGCGAAAATTCCGAGGAACTTTAACTCCTTGAAATGTAACAATCACAATATCCACTTAGCCTCTTCCATTTCTACAACCTGTGGAAACCGCCATCTTCTCCTGCTACCAGACGCAGCCGCCCTATTTGACTTTTTTTTTGAGACAAGGTTTCTCATATATCCCAGGTTGCTTCAGACAAGTGCTGGTGTGACAGGTGACTTACATAACTTGGTCATCCTTTTTTAATGGAGGCACTACAAGTAACAAATGGTTTGATACCAGAGAGTACTGGATTGAAAAAACAATTGGGAACCATTTTTACATGAATTTAAATTAGAGGTTGCAGAACTATGATTGAAAGTAACTTTTATTATCCGTAGCTACTCAAAAAATGGGATACAGCCGGGCGGTGGTGGCGCACGCCTTTAATCCCAGCACTCGGGAGGCAGAGCCAGGTGGATCTCTGTGAGTTCGAGGCCAGCCTGGTCTCCAAAGCGAGTTCCAGGAAAGGCGCAAAGCTACACAGAGAAACCCTGTCTCAAAAAAAAAAAAAAAATGGGATACTATCTTAAAAATGTTTGACTATAAGGACTGGGTACCAGAATAAATATTTCTTTTAAACAAAAGGTGATTTTTTTTTTCCTTTTTCTTTTTCTTTTCCTTTTTTTTTTTCAATCTTAAAATAATGTTGTCCGCTGAGCTGTGGTGGTGCCCGCTTTTGATCCCAGTACTTTGGAGGTAGAGGTAGGTCGATCTCTTAAGTTCAAGGCCAGCCTCATCTACAGATCGAGTTCCAGGACTGGCACAGAGAAACTATCTTAAAAAACCAAAATAATAATAATAATAATAAAAATAAAAACAGTAATAATATCTTACATTAATTGGAGCCCTTAAAATCCTCAGAATGAAAAAAGTTGGGTGGGGCTGGAGAGATGGCTCCGTGGTTAAGAGCACTGGCTGTTCTTCCAGAAGTCCTGAGTTCAATACCCAGCAACCACATGGTGGCTCACAACCATCTGTCATGAGATCTAGTGCCCTCTTCTGACCTGCAAGCATGCATGTAGACAGAACACTGTATACATAATAAATAAATCTTTAAAAAAAAAAAAAAAAAGAAAGAAAAGAAAAAAGTTGGGTGTTTGGAGCCAGCAGTGTGGAGGTGGGGCAGCTGCCACCCAGGCAAGACTCAGATGTACTGGTGAATAAACACTGTGCCCAGTTGGAGGAAGAAAGAAAAGTCAGTGATAGTTTACTTTCAAATCCTAGTTTAGCAGCAGTCAGTTTAATTTGTATAAGCAAAGATTTCTTTAAGCCTTTAATCCATGTGTTATTATTTAACGATCATCACCTAGTAATTTCAGATTGCTGCTGACAGAAAACTGAGGCCTAGAGGGCAAGTATAGTCCAATAGAAAGCCTCTCTTGGTTCTCTGCAATAATTTACATTGTGGTTTAGTGAGGTAAAGTTGCTGTAAATTTCAGTGAAGTTCCTGCCCAGTATTCTTCATATTTTCCTGTTGGAAATTGAGCTGTTATTTTGCAAGACCTGCTATGCAAAAGCACTCATGTTTAAGTACTGCTGTTGATCTCCAGCTTTCTAGTCATTGCTTATAGGCAGTAGAAAGTTTGTGCTTTTATCACTATGTATTTGGCTGAGTCAATTTATTGTTGTGTAGGATGGCTTTCCATATTTGAAGGTTTTTTTTTTTTGGTTTTTCGAGACAGGGTTTCTCTGTGTAGAATTCACTCTAGAGATCAGACTGGCCTCGAACTCAAGTGCTGGGATTAAAGGCGTGTACCACCATGTCCGGCCTTTTTTTCCCTTCCCTTTGAGATTGGGCTTTTACTGTGTTAGACTTGAGATCCACCTTCCTCCAAGGGCTAAAGACATGCTCCCAGCTGAAGTTGTCTTTATGAAATGTGCCTTTAATCTGTGCGATTTTTCCCTTAGATTGACTGAATATTGACCACTATGATACATAGAAAGCATGTTCAACAGTGTGTCCTTCTTTCTTTCATACACACATCCCCTTCAAAAAAAAAAAAAGAAAGAAAGAAAAGAAAAAAGAATCTAAGTATGGTGACACACCCTGTAATCCCAGCAATTGGGAGGTGAAGGCAGAGGATTGAGGTTTATAGGCAAGCCTGGGCTGCATGAGACCGTCTCAAAAAACAAAAAATAAGGACTGGCTTTGTAGGTAAAAGTGTTTGCTGTACAAGCGTAAAGACTTGTACAGCAAGCTTGAATCCTCACAACTAAAGTACAGTAATCCTACAAAGAGATGGCAGAATCCTTATAGACGTTCACAAGCCAGCTACACTGGTATATGCAGAAGTGAAAATGAGACTGTACTTTAATCAAGGTGGGAGGCAAGGACTGACACTCCTAAGGTTGTCCTCTGACCACCACAAAGGTGCCATGGAACACATGCCCCAACTCACACTAGTGTGTGCATGTGTACACAAACACATAAAAAGATTCCAAGAAATATGAAAGGTCCTTGGTTCAATCCCTAGCACACAAGCCATACATACATGTATTTTCTTCAGTAAAGCTTTGGTTTCTATATTCTCTTATTTCTTTTTCAATCTTTTTTATTTAGATACTTTGACATTTAAAGCTGCAGTAGATTTGTCTTAGCAATCTACTCTTGGGATTCTGTGGATAAGCTGTACTGACTACATAAAACAAATCTTTGACATACTAGAACAGAGGAGGCTATTGTCTTCTTTTTAAAGCCTTCATGATTACCTTCCTCTAGAGAATTGAGAATTACAAACAGGAGTAACCACATGAATTCTCTTGTGGTATCAAGAATGGAATATTACAAACTTGTGAAAAGCATAGTTATTGCTGATATTGCCCCAGTTTAGAAATACTTATTTCTGACCCACAGAGAAAACATTTCTAGGAGGGAGACCATTTTTAATCAAATGGTAGTGCACAGGATTGAAGCTGGGTGTGTGTCATCACTAGAATGTCAAATGGAAAAAGCTATAATTTTCTTAACTTGGTATTTTGTTAAAATGGTTATGACTGTGGAAAAAGTTTGTTTTGGACTTCGTTGTTTTCTAGGTTGCAGTAACATCGTTTTGATTGAAGTGTCTTTTGGCTACAAGCTAGAAATTTCAAGTCAACAGTCCTTGGATTCTGACAAACTTAAAAGTTGTCTTGAGGTTGATTTTGTGATTCTTTTATTTAAGGTTATTGGCAGTAGTCACAGCTGGTAGGAGACAAATTTGGGATTTCTTCACTGTTTTGACACTAGGCATTTTCATCAGTGGAGATAAGAGCTGTTGGTCCTTGAATGGCTGCTGCTGTTGAAATAAATGGCTTTTAACATGGCTTCAGAAGTGGTCATGGAGCTTTTGAACTGCTTTAACTTTTGTAAGGGTAACATAAAGCCAACATCATGTACAACTGTCCCTTGGCTGTGATCAGTTTTTGTTGTTATTTGCCTGCACAAAATATGTACTCAGAATCAACTATAATGGTCCTTCTCATTTCATTTTTCTTTCTTTGCACTGATTCTCCTTGTTTTGTGCAAAGTACCAGTTCTGTAACATTTCAGGAAAGACAAGGCGGGTGAGGCTATAAACTTTGAACACTTGGCCTTCAACCACTGTGCAACTCCATTAATACATCCTTAAGATGTTCGTTGTGTTTGTGAAATAATTTTGTTTTCCATTTGAATCTTTACTTTCTGTATTGATTTTAAAAATCCTAATTCTTACTCCTTTGAACAAAGGAGTTTAAGTAGGGAGGCCCTGTCAAGGCCTTTAATGGGTTATTTTTACCCTTGCACTGCTAAGCTTAAGTGAATTGAAGACTTTAATATCATAATCATCCTTCTAAGGATGTGAGTGATTGATTCCTAAGAAATCCTCATTATGCCCTTTTTTAAACTTTGGAAATGTGATTTACAGGTTGTTTTCTAGAAGTTAATGCTTTGAGCCATCTTCAAGTTCAGCAGCCATTTTGGTGGTTGTCTAGATGGATTTAACATCTGGTTATGGTGGTCATGAATTGGCAATCCAAACCTTGGGGAAATCTGCAGAAATTTTGGAAATCATTGCTATTTTTCCCTTTGCATGTAGCTTAGAATCATGGTACTGTGTTTAACTATCTTGTTGCAAACTGAGTCCCAAACTTGAATTTGTACCCTCTTAGGGGCTTTTTAGAAAATGGTAAGAATATTACCTGATGCTATTCAGACTTAACAATTGTATAGTCAGTATTCTTTCTCCAAACTGGTGCCTCAGACTGTGTGCAGAATTCATCTATAGAATTTGTGAGGCTCAGCACAGGAAAAAAAAAAATGATGGTGCTCTTGTTAAAATATTAGAAATTTCAGTATGGTGCTTAAAACCTAAACAAGCACAGGACTTTGTTACACAGTTTGCACACACAAAGCTGGCCCTGAGGTTGTGTCTATATTCCTTTTGGCTTATGTATAGGCACATTCTTGTATTTGTGGCATGTGAGGTCAGTTCATTGGCATTGTGATGTATGTGTTGTTTATCTGACTTCACCAGTAAGAGTATATCTGTAAAACTCTTCTTCCTTCCCCTGAAAGTAAGTCTTGCAGAATTCTTTCCTGTAGATTTGGATTGCCTCTAGTCATGAGTGAGCATTACAGATAGGGAAATTGATAATGGAAATCTGTGGAAGTAGCGTGTTTGTGGTGGGAGGAAAATCAAGGACATATTGTTAATGACTTTTCACCTATTTTACTGCACACCTGTAATGCCTAGTTTGGTGGTTTGGAGAATATGGAGTGTTTCTGGGCTTTCTTATAAGGCAGAGGCTCCATACAGGGTTGCTGATGATTGTTCTAAATTCCCATTGTTTTCTTGGCTTTTCTCCCTTGGTTTATGTGTCGTCTGGAAACTGATTTGTAGTTGGTGAGGTAACATACGTGGAGCTCTTAATGGACGCTGAAGGAAAGTCAAGGGTAAGTGTCTGAGAGAATTTCTTCTGTGGATTTACTACATGAAAATGTAACTGTATGGTGGCGTGGACTCGAATGAAATCAGGAAGGCAGTGAGTGCTCATGTTACTGTAGCCATGTTTGATTTTGCCAACATTCTAGTAGGGTGGGAGGGGGCTTGCAAACAGGAGTCCCGCTTTTCCAAATGGCTGGCCAAAGAGCTTTCTGGTATTCTGTTTGGATGCCCAATTTGGATAACTGGGGACCATTAGCAGCATTGTCTCTTTGTTTAACAGGAATTGGCTGTGTGTGAATTATGCATGGAATTTTAGTGGTGGTATAATTAAAGTAAAAGTGTGTTCTTGTTTAGAAAATGTTATTCTTGGTTGTTTGCTGATTTGAAAGTTGTGTGAACCAAAGATTCTGAAAAGTAGCCTTTGTGCCAGTAAATTGTAAACCACACATTACAAACCTGAACGTTCAAAATTGGCCT